TACGTACCTGGGCGCCATAGCCGTGCTAACAACAACAACAACAACAACAACAACAACAACAACAACAACAACAACAACAACAACAACCACAAGAAGAAGAAGAAGAAGAAGAAGAAGAAGAAGAAGAAGAAGAAGAAGAAGAAGAAGAAGAAGAAGAGGGGCAGAGGCCGTACCTGCGTCAGCGGTACTTACCTCGGCGCCATAGCTGTGTTCCACGCTGGCCACCTGCGTAAGAAGAAGAAGAAGAAAAAGAAGAAGAAGAAGAAGAAGAAGAGGGGCGGAAGCCATACCTGCGTCAGCGGTACTTACCTAGGCGCCAACGCCGTGCTCCACGCTGGCGACCTGCAGAACAACAACAACAACAACAGCAACAACAATAACCACAATGATAACAACAACAACCACAACAACCACAACAACCACAACAACAACAACAACAACAACAACAAGAGGAAGAGGAAGAAGATGAAGAGGAACGGAAGGCGTACCTGCGTCAGCGGTACATACCTTGGCACCATAGCCGTGTTCCACGCTGGCGACCTGCACAACAACAACAACAACAACAACAACAACAACAACAACTAGATGGGCGGAAGCCATACCTGCGACAGCGGTACTTACCAGGCGCCATAGCCATGCTCCATGCTGGCGACCTGCACAACAACAGCAACAACAACAACAACAACAACAGCAACAACAACAACAGTAGCAACAACAACAACAACATAAACAACAACAACCACCACAAGAAGAAGAAGAAGAAGAAGAAGAAGAAGAAGAAGAAGAAGAAGAAGAAGAAGAAGAAAAAGAGGAGCGGAGGCCGTACCTGCGTCAGCGGTACTTTCCTCGCGGCCATAGCCGTGCTCCACGCACGCGACCTGCACAACAACAACAAGAAGCAAAAACAACAACAACAACAACAACAACAACAACAACAACAACAACAACAACCACAACAACAACAACCACAAGAAGGAGAAGAAGATGGGCGAAGGCCATACCTGCGTCAGCGGTACTTACCTGGGCGCCATACCCGTGCTCCACGCTGGCGACCTGCACAAGAAGAAGAAGAAGAAGAAGAAGAAGAAGAAGAAGAAGAAGAAGAGGGGCGGATGCCATACCTGCGTCAGCGGTAGCTACGTGGGCGTCATAGCCGTGATCCACGCTGGCGACCTGCAGAACAACAACAACAACAACAGCGACAACAGCAACAACAAAGATAACAACAACACCCACAACAATAACAACAACAACAACAAGACGAAGAGGAAGAAGAAGAAGAGGGGCGGAGGCCATACCTTCGTCAGCGGTACCTACCTGGGTGCCATACTCGTGCTCCATGCTGGCGACCAGCAGAACAACAGCAAAAAGAAGAAGAAGAAGAAGAAGAAGAAGAAGAAGAGGTGCGGAGGCGGTACTTACCTGGGCCCCATAGCTGTGCTTAACGCTGGCGACCTGAGCAACAACAACAACAACAACAACAACAACAAGAACAACAACAACAAGAGGAAGAAGAAGAAGAAGAAGAGGGGCGGAGGCCATACCTGCATCAGCAGTACTTACCTGGGAGCCATAGCCGTGCTCCACGCTGGCAACCTGCACAACAACAACAACAACAGCAACAGCAACAAGAAGAAGAAGAAGAAGAAGAAGAAGAAGAAGAAAAAAAAAAAGAAGAAGAAGAAGAAGAAGATCAGTGGCGGAGGCCATACCTGCGTCAGCGGTACTTACCTGGATGCCATAGCCGTAATCCATGCTGGCGATCT